TCCTCCAAAATACATTTTTTGCTTTCCCCAAATCGAGAAGATTTGTTGGGAAATAGAGAAAATATAAGTTTTAATATTTAATAAGTTATTATATTTATCAAATTATTTTCAGTTTTATTTAAGTATATTTAAAATTATTATTATTCTTTACATTCAAATTATTTTTATTTTATTTTTGTATTTAATATAAGTTAATATTATTATAATGTTTTTTATTTTTTTAATAATTATTTATTTTTATGTTTATTTATGCTAGGTTTTTCTCTAATTTTGTTATGTATTTTATTATATTTTCTTTTATATAAAATTTTAAATAAAATTTTAAACTATTTATTTTGTGTATTACATTGTATTCAAAAGTTGATTTTTTCAAAAATAACTATTTTTTAAAATTAATATCAAATAAATCAATGTTTCAAATTTATTACAAAAGTAACTATGTGTCAGAAAGAAGAAAAGAAAAGTCGTCATTGTTATTGACGAATGCATTTTCTTTAACACATAGGCGAAAATGGCTCATGCTTCATGCATTAAGTGCATACGCCATTTCAAATGGCGCATCATTTATATTTTATTTTGTTTTTATTTTAAATAATTTTAATTATTTATAATGCATGCACCAATCCAAATGATGATATTATTTTTCAATGCATACGACGATCTAAATGGTGTTATTTGAATGCATGCGCCAATTCAAATGGTGCATATGTATGAATATAAACTAATCCAAATGGCGCCTCCTTATAAGTGTAATATATGCATGCACCATTTTGATTGACGCATTCTCTTTTCATGTTTAGTTTGATAATTAATTTGTAATGATGATTTTTTTTAGAATATTATTTAAAATAGTGGTTGCTTAAAAAATAATTCTCAAAAGTTGTTATCAATATATAGTTTAATTTGTTTAGAGAGCTATAATACGAATCAAATATCCTCAATTTTTTTTAATGCTAGGTGGTAAGTAACACTACAAGAAAACATTGTTTTTTCCTAGTGAATTAGTGACGTGGTAAACACTTGGGAAAAAAATTGCGTTGTAAAGTGATTATCACGTCACAAACATTTTTTATTAATAAATTTTTTACCTCTAAAATCTGGAACGAAATTTTGGATTTTTAAGAGAGGGGGAATTTTGAATTTTTGACAAATTCTGTTGTGGCGTGTATTTCACATAGGAACCTAAAATTCAAAAAATAGATTTTTGTTGCCACGTGATTAACCTGTCACAAAATACCCACATGAATTCCACTTCGCAACCCACTTACATCAATGATTCACTTACCGTTGAGTTGGCATTTAGTGGAGCAACGGTAATAATTTAATATAGGGGGAATGTTCCGACCTTGCTTTCACGTCGCAAGGTTACGAAGTACATCCCACGTCGCAAAATTTGAAAAACAAAGTTGGCATTAATGGCATAACGTTAACAATTTAATATATGGATAGTACCGACCTGGATATCACGTCGCAAGCTTGCGAAGTAGATGCCACGTTGCAAGTTGCGAAGCTTTATGCATGTCGCTAATTTCCCAAAGGTTTGCCACGTCGGAAGATACGTTATATATAAAAATTTCCAGAATTTCTTTAGGCACACAACGTATCAAAATTTCCAGAAGTTTTCTTTGTTCTTCCCCTTCGTTCACCTCAGCTCCTTGCTACAACTCCACTCCAGCTCCTTACTCCAGTTAATTTTTTCTTCAAAATTTAAGGTGAATGCTTGTAACTATTTTCTTTTATAGTTTATTTTATATTTTTCTTATTATTAACTGATTTTTTTTTCCAGATCTAAGAATATTAATTGATTTATAAGAAATTTTATTTGGAAGCTTTGAGAGAGGTATTTATGCATTTTAATTTTTTATATTTATTGTGTATTATGTTGTTATTGTTGAAAGCTTTGAGATTTAGGTTAGAAAATTTGAGATTTTAGTAGCTTTGAAGTAATGCTGTTGTTGTTGGAAAATTTGAGATTTTAGTAAATTTGAGATATAGTATTGTGTTGTTGTTGATTTTTAAGTTAGATTTTTTCAGATTTTTATATAAAATTTTCAACAACAACAAAAACAGAATATTTAATTTATCAAGCAACAAAATATTTTTCAGATTATTTAAATATGTATTATTTATTTGAAACAAATTTAAAAAATAAAATATTTACTTTAAACATAATATATATTACTTTAAACAAAATAAAAAATAAAATATTTAGTAAGCATAATATATATTAAGAAATGTCAACTTAAATTTTTCTAGTATAAATAAAATAAGAAAAATAATGAATATAATTAGTAAACATAATAAAAAAAAATATAAAATACCAATGGTATTAATATATTCGCTTAAATTTTTCGACACCAACCCCTTCCCCTTCGTTCTTTCTTATTTTATTAACTTAAATTTATATTTCTTATTATTAAATATAATTATTAAATATGTTCACTTAAATTTTTTCTTCAAGATTATAAATTATAGGTATTTAATATAAATAATTTGCTAATGGTATTAAAAATTAAAAATTATTTTAAATGTGACTAAATATTTATATATTTTAAATGTATATTATTTTAATTAAAAATTATTTTAATTTTAAATTTATATTTAATATTTAATATTTATTTTAATTTTATAGTTGTTTTCAGTTAATATTTTTTTTTTTTATAATTAAATTTAATTGTGAAGTGGATCCCATGTCACTAATTAGTGACGTGGGAATCACATGGGAAGAATATTAATTCAATGTAGTTTCCCACGTGAAAACCAGGTCACAACTTTGTGACGTGGAAATCACATGTGTAATAAAATATACTTGTGTAATGTTCCCACGTGATTTTCACGTCACTAATTAGTGACTTGGTTTTCACGTGTGAATTTTCCCCCTTTATTTTGTGGTTTGCGACGTGGTAACTCTGTCACAACTTTGTGACGTGTTTACCACATGGAAAAAAGTTCCCACCATTGCATTTTCAACGTATTTTACCCACGTCGCAAATGTTGTTAGTGAAGTGGTTTTTATGTTAGTGACGTGAATATCACTTGGGAAACTGCAATATTTCTTGTAGTGTAACGACTTTTTAATTCTTCAATATTACAAATTTTATTGTCAAAAAATATTTATAAATTTTACACCTTTAAATATCATATCACTTATCTATAATTATATATAAAAGCAAAACTTATTATTTGGTATAACCTTTTTTTTTTCTTTCAATTATATCCTTTTATGTTCTTTTATTAAATCTCAACTTCTCTTTTATTAATCGCTATAAGATGGTTTACATCTTTTTCATTCCACTATTCTTTTATAATTATTTTATAAATAATTTAATTAAAATAAAAAATAAATAATGCATTAATAAAAGCGGAAAGACAGACAGTATTAGATGCTAATATAAAATAATAAAAATAAAAATATAAATTATTAATAAATTTTTTTCCCTCACTTCTAAAATAAAATATATTTTTAATTAAAATCTCTCCCTTCTCCTCTTTTAATCAAATATATGTTTAATGAACTAAAAAAACTCTCACTTCGTCCCCTTTCCTTTCCATCCATTGAAATTCATCACCTCTCTATTTAAATCAAACAGACCCTTAAAAAATGCTTGAAGGACTCTTAAACCTGACTCATAAAATAATGGCTGTATTAAGAGAGAAACAAAAACACAAACGGGGTGGGTAGCAGCTCTAACAAGAGAGAAACAATACCAATCGATTTTATAAACACAAAATCGAGTTTAATCATTATTTGATATGTTTGGTTGTTATTATGCATAATAATTTTACATCCATAATAGATTTTTAAGCTACGTTTGGAGCTTAAAAATTAATAAGAATGCTTGTATCACATTAGCATGAAGCAACTCACATTTATATGATGTGACAAGAACTATAAACAGTAAACCTTAGATGCAACGTGTAGAGTGAACTAACATGTTCTAACTATAATGAAGTTTAGAATTAATTTCATGTGTAAAATATGCATGTAGTGCCTAGTTTGGAACCTCTTAAGAACATACATTACCTTGGGAAAAGGATAGGCCTAATGAAAAATTAGATCTAAGAGGAGTATGAATATTGGAACAAAAAAATGCATGAGTGGTGATGAAACCTATCACCTATTCACCTATCACTGTGAACCTAGTTCTAGGCACCTGAATTGAATATAGAAGAATTGTTCCCTGACACTAAAAGACAACACATAAATTTAAACTTTGCAGCATAAATTCCTATTGTGTGCAACAGTTTTGAGCCAGACTAGCATAGCCCACATACAGTTTCACACCATTTCAGGATCTATGTGCTTGATAGTACTACTTTCATCATCAATTGTCTAAAGTAGATAATAATAAAACAACCACAACAATACACTTTGCATGAACATAAAACCACACACCAAAGTACACCAAATCAATCCCACATACATTGAATATTAATTAATCACCCCCTCTTCTATACCATTCATTATACCCCCAACCCCAATAATCTCCATAACCTAACCTCTCCCAAATGTTAAGAAAGTTAACAAACATTCGTTTCTTTCATGAATGAAGAAACCAATGACAATACATTAGAAAAAAAGTAAAGAAAATAAAGGATATTCATATGTCATTGCATATACACATTACACATTACAAAACTAATGAAAATGACCAACTTCAACTTACTCAGAACTCAGTAGTAGTACTCACCAAATGAAGAACCTTCATCTCTTGATCTTCATCCATGGAGTTGCTACACACATGATGAGAGAAGAGGATCCGAGGTTCCTCTCAGCACAAATTTCTCAACCTTGAGACATAAAACTAACAAGGTTGAAGACTAGTATAGTAATATATTTGCAGCTGACATGATCTCTCTGATCCTAAACTCTCTCACCTTTTCTCTATTTTTTTGTAAGTAAACCAAACCCAATTGACCCCAAAAGAAGAAAAAAACAGCATTTTTTCAGCAATGAACAGAAGCCTAAAAGAGATAAGAATAAGATAGTTTTGATCTTTCTAGATCAGAGAAGAAACTGAATTAGAACCAGGTTGATCAGTACTCCAAACACTACCCAAACCTGTTGCTGTTGCTGCTGTGTTGTTGTTGCTGTTGTTGTGATTATTATTCCAATAAAGAGAAGCATTATTATCAGACAAACCCATATTCTCCATCTGGTTTTGAAAAGCAGCACCACCATTACCATTTAGATTGTTCATATTCCACTGATCCAACCTATTTTGTAGCCCTTCTCCTAATTTCCCTTCTTTTGAATCCATCTCATGATGATGATGAAACGGATCATCATCACGACCACCACCACCACCACCTTTTATTCCACCACCAGTACTCATGAACTTCTGTTGCAGTAATGTAGAGTTAAGTAGAGAAGCCATAACTGGAGTAGTTGAAGTAGAAGAAGAACCAAAGATAGAACTGTAATTGTTATTATTTGAAGTACTAAACCCATTTCTGTAACTACCCTCCTCATGATGATGATGATGATGATTAAGATTAACTTCTCCTCCAGCAGCAGACATTAGTATCCCAGATGAAAAACCTAATCCAAGACCATTCTGGTGAAGATTATCATAACCAGAAGCAGGATTTGAAACTCTAGTAGTAGAATTAAACCTTGTTGAAAAAGGAAAATTCATAACATCATGACAAGAGTTGTTACCACCATAAAGCATAGTATTGATATGGTTTGAGGTAGCAGCAATATCAAAACTATGGTGCTGCTGCTGCTGTTGTTGTTGAGATTGAGAAGGAGGGTTTGGATTAGCAACAACACTAGAAGGAGTTGAAGAAGAAGGAGAAGCAGAAGAATCAATGTTGTTGTTGTTGTTGGAACAAGAGTATGTTGGTCGTTTAAGACGTTTGTTTTTTCTGCAACCACCACCAACAGGAACATTTCTGAGTGTTCCACCTCTTGTCCAGTATCTTTTACAGGCTTTGCAGAAGTGTCTCGGTTGTGTTAAACTGTAGTTATTATAGTAACAGAATTTCGTGTTGGATGAATCACAACGGGGACATCTTAAAGCTTGTTGTTGTTGTTGAAGAAGCTCTTGACCTGGTTTTTCCATAACCCTATTACCAGTTGAAGAAGCCATTGAAACCTTATGATCATCTATCTCACTCTACAATCAAAAGGATAAGAAATAAAAATGAATAAACTAATGAAAAAAACATGAGAGAGAAAAAGTGTTTTAAGGTGGTGCATGTTTTACACAGTGGTTTTATTCTGTTCCAAGAGGAAAACAACAAAATTTGGGTGGTCATGTATTTTTTGTATAATAATTGAGAAAGAGAAACAGATAGAGATAGAGATAGAGATAGAAAGAGATGAAAACCTGTGTCCATTTGCTAGAAGTGACTATGGTTTTCTCATTATCAACATCACAGTTACCATTACCAAACATTTTGGTTTCTATGAGAGTAGTTGGTGCCGCGAGTCTTGTTTGATGGTCTTTGAAATGGAATGAAGGTGGCATGATAAAGTGAACATGTAGATTAGTATTATTATTTAATTAAATCATATAAGACTAATTAAATTGAATTGTGTAGCTAGGTTCACGTGATGAGTTTGGTTTAAGATGGAATTTGTGTAATTAAATATATAATGGAATTGTGCAGTGGAATATTAAAAAAGAACATTCGAAATCCAAGAAAGGGACATAGAGGTAAAGTGGGATTAGGATGAATCTTGAGTGGTTCAAGAAAGGAAAAAGAAAAGAAACAACACACACCCACATATATACTCTCCAACGTAGTAACATTCTTTTGTGCAGAGAGAGATAGAATACATAGAGGGGGAATCCCTAAGATATGCTCAACATTCAAGGCAAAATCCCACTTAAATTTGTTTTAATTGTTTACCATTTTAAAAAAGAAAATTTGAAATTGAATTACGACTTAAATAGTGTTCTCTTTCATGTAAATCTGTGGGTTTTTGGTTGTCGTCCTTGAATTTTTTTTTGTTCAAGTCTCATATGTTCATTTCTCTTTGGCGTCACCGTTAAAAAAACACTAAGGTGACAGACGGTGATGACTTGACTTATGTTTTAGCATTTGTTTTATTTTTTTTTTAACACGTGAATATAATGTTTTTCCCCCAAAATATGTCATCAAAACTCATTTCTCTCTTTTCTATTTAGTTCCTGTAAATTAGGGTTTCACATTTAGAAAGCATTTCAGTTCAGAGAAGGTAAATGCGACTGGTACGAAAGCTTGTCTGGGCGAGGCGACTGAGGGTGACAAAGCTACAATCGTGATTGAGTGAACTAATCGAATCTTCCAAGTATGACATTTATGGCGAACATTCGTTACGAAGGAAAGTTTGTTAAGGATAGTGTCGTGTACTACGTAGGTGGAGATAAACATGTAGTAGACATTGACCCTAATAGGTGGAGCTTCTTTGAAGCAATTGGTATTGTGAAAGAAATTTGCAACCTTGAGTCCACTGATTATTAGCTATGGTGGTATAACGTTATATCGGGTAAGCATGCAAGGATAGTTAGTGATATTGATACTGTTGAGTTTCTGAAAAAGCTGTTGAAACTAGTTGTAGTGTGGATTTATTTGTTGAGCATAGAGTAGTTGTAGCTAATAATGTCATTAATGATGCTGATAATGTTAATGATAATGCTGATAATGTTGATGATATTGAAGCTGATAATGTTATTGAGGATGATGTTCATGATAATGCTGGAAATAGTATTGCTGATAATGTTAATTATATTGAAACTGATAATGTTATTGAGGATGATGTTCATGATAATGCTGAAAATGATATTGCTGATAATGTTGATGATACTGAAGCTGATAATGTTATTGAGGATGATGTTCATGATAATGTTGGAAATGTCAATGTTGATGGTGATGTTGGCAACCTAAATGTTGATGAATCTGCCAAGGTTGATGAGAATCTTGATGGTGTTGAAGGAAATGAAAATGATGATAGTGATTTGAGAGGGTGGAACATAGGCTTTGTCTTAGGTATTTATATGCCAATTTCAAAAAGAAGTTTGGTGGTGGCACACAGATCAGAGATTTGATGGTGGCTGCAGCAAAGGCCACATATATACAAGCATGAAAAGTAAAGATGAAAGAGTTAAAGGTGTTTAATCCTAAGGCTTGGGAGTGGTTGATCAAAATACATACAAAATCATGGTGTAAGCATGCTTTCTCATTCTATCTCAAATGTGATGTGCTAATGAATAATGTCTCTGAAGCTTTTAATAGCACAATGCTAAGGGCTAGGGATAAACCAATCTTAACCATGTGTGAATGGATAAGAAACTACCTTATGAATAGAAATTCTAAATTAAGAGAAAAAGTTGATAGGTGGGAACATAAGATAATGCCAAGACCTAGAATTAGGTTAAATAAAGAGGTAGAAAATGATGGTAATTGGATTCCAAACTGGTCCGGTGATACTACTTGGGAAGTTGAACATATTGATAACACGAAATCATATAGATATTTTCATGCATAATTCAACTAAAGTCTAACCATTTTCGATCCGATTTCGGGTTGTTTCCATGTATTTGTCTGATGTTTTTGCAGGTATTTAACGATCACGTCTAAACAAGGCAACATGAAGAAAAGAAGCAATCCCAGATGAAATATGGACGAAAAAGGAGTGAAAACACAGTGAAAAGCGCATCAATCAGTTTTTGCTGATGTGACGACCGTCACAGATGCATGACGACCGTCACACGGGTGACGACCGTCACACCTTGTGACGACCATCATGCAGGCAAAAACGCCCCACTCAGATTACACGTCAAAAGAGCAGTTCCAATTCCCATTAAATGGTCCAATACTCCTAAATTATCTGCCTCAAGGTCCATCATCCTCAGAGGCAACCGTTGGAATTCCACCTCTATAAAAAGGGAAGCAGGGGACTTCAAAAAGGAAGCCGCATTCATACCACGAAGTGCTGCCAAATTTAATTTCCAGCTTTTTATTATTTGTATCCATTTCTCCAGTTTCATTTGTATCCCTTTCCTTTATTTCCCTTTCCATTCTACTCATTCCCATTTCCGCTCTTCTGTAATTGTTACTGCACTGTACGATCGAATTGGAACTAAAGACAGAATCCTGCCAACATCTGTGGAGGATCTGCCCAAAGGCCAATTGACATTATTTACAGGTTTTCATTTTGATCGACTCTTATTTTATCATAATGCAATTTATTATTTATTATTATTATTTATGTTTTGCTTTTCCAAATTCCATGTCTAGCTAAACTTAGGTAATCGATATGTAGTAATAATTCGAATGAGATTTGATAACTCTTGTTTGAAAACTTTCTTTTCACAAAAATAACTTATGGTCTAAGTGTTTAAAATTGATTTACGAAATAAACTTCGTCGCGAAAGCGAGAACTTGTTTTAAAGTAATTTTGCCACGAAAGTGGGAAATTAATTAAGATACGAACCAACAAGCGAAAGCTGCGGTAAGGTCAGATAGTAAACACTAGGCATTTGTTTTAATAACAGCGAAAGCACTTTAAAACGAATTAGAACTTAGAGGTTTCCAAAAAGTAATTTTAACCCCGAACGGAACACGAAAGTGTACGTTAGGCCCTTAGGATTATGATTAGCGTCAATAACCATCGTGAGACGAGAGTCTTCAAATCTCCACTTTCTGCTTAAATGAACTGTGAAAACTATTTCATACACCAGGAACCTATCAAATCCCTGAAGAACATAATTACTACGTATCGATTCAATTAATTAAAATCTAAATAGCAATCTTAGTTTCCCCTCTTAGTGACAATCTTATTCCCTTAAAACATATTCTACCTAGCTAAACATAGTAACTCCCGAGAACACTAGCTTGATTACGAGTCCCTGTGGGATCGATATCTTTTATTACTACGCGATAGACTGTGCACTTGCAGTTAGTTGTATTAGACATAGAAAGTCGCGATCAAGTTTTTGGCGCCGTTGCCGGGGACCCGTTTAGTCAATAGTGTAACCTTCTGTTACGCCGTATAGACTAGGTAAACAATTTTCATTTTTCCTTTACTAGTGCTGTCGATTGTATGCCAAGTGATCGCCCACAAAGCGATATCTTGAAACCTTCAGTCGCAGAACTAGAGCGCTTCTTACACCTAAGAAGCCGAATCATTGAGTACCAACTCAAACATAACATTCCCGATCCTCTCACTCCCATTCCCAAAGAAGAAGAACCAACGATGGCTGAAGGACCTCCGAACAAACCGCTGAAGGCATACGCTACACCATCGCAGATGGAGTCTAGAAGTAGCATTGCTGCCCCAGCTATTACCCGAAATGATTTTGAGCTGAAACCATCATTGCTGTCGGTTGTACAACAAAGTCAATTCTCAGGAAACGCAACTAAGGATCCGAACGAACATCTAACGAAGTTTGTACAATACACAGACACAGTAAAAGCAAATGGAGTAACTCCAGACGCTATAAGACTTCGTCTTTTCCCATTCTCTCTTAGAGATAGAGCGTGGACATGGTTACAATCGTTACCATCCAACTCCGTTACGACGTGGGAGCAATTGAAGAACGTCTTCTTAGCGAGATATTTTCCACCAAGCAAAACTGCTATGCTTAGAGCTCAAATCAACGGATTTCGACAAAAAGATACCGAATCTCTTTACGAAGCATGGGAACGATTCAAAGATATGATGAGAACATGTCCTCACCACGGTCTAGAAGACTGGGTGACAATCCATACTTTCTATAATGGGCTTCTATACAATACTAGATTGACAATAGACGCTGCCGCGGGCGGTGCACTTATGGATAAGCCATACGATGAAGCCTATCAATTAATAGAAAACATGTCACAAAACCATTGCCAATGGGGAGGTGAACACACTCCAAATGAGAAAACCTCAGCGAAAGGTGGGATGTACGAAATCAGCAGCCTTGAAAAGTTCAATGCTAAAGTAGATGCTCTAGCACAAAAGATCGATAGTCTGACCGTTAACCCCACTGCAACTGTCGCTGCAGTAACTCCAAATTGCGAGTTATGCGGAAGCACCACTCATAATGCACCCGAATGCCCATTGCTAGCCGGAATCCCGCCAGACCAGGTAAATTATGCTCAAGGAAATCCCTACGCAAATACCTACAACCCAGGTTGGCGAAATCATCCAAACTTTTCTTACAAAAGCGAAAATGCATTGCAAATGCCTATTGCTCCGCAAGGATATCAAAAACCAGCTGCTCAGAATGCACCTAGGAAATCAAACCTCGAATTGATGATGGAAAAGTTCATAGCTACTCAAGCTCAGACGAACAAAGAGTTCTTGAATCAAAACATACACACTAGTGAGCAAATTAAACAGTTGACAGGAAAAGTAGACGCTTTAGCCACCCACAACAAAATGTTAGAAACACAGATATCACAAGTGGCTCAACAGCAAGCATCT